AGGAAGTATGATCAGCTGGCAACTCAGAACAGTTTTTCCTATTCAGTTCTTTCTCCAGTCTCATCTGGAGGCAACATCCTAAATGTAGAGTGAATCTCAGCAGTACGCTTAGAGGTAAATACAATGTTGACCCACTGGATGACTTTGCAGTTTTCCTTAACAGCAGCTTAGAGCAAAATGCCAAAAAAAAACTGAGGGAGGGAGTCAAATCCTGCACACTTGTTAGTACTTGTTAATTAGCTCTTGAGGATAAAACTGAAGCCATCTTGATAATTACATGATTCCTCAGGATGTGAATGCTGTTGTCCTCTCCTCAAAGGTGGTTTCCTAAATGAACATAAATTGGGTCACAGCAGAATGTGTCACTGCTGTCGGTAGGGTCACAATGGCAACAGGAAAGCATAAAACCGTATCTTAATTTAGCATCCTTGGTTTAACTGCTGTTGAAATGTGATCCAGCAGAAATGGGTGTGTAGGTATTTTGATGTCCAGCAAGGCTGTTTGGTCTAACGTGGGGATATTAGGCTGTAGAGACTGACCCAGAAACCAAATCATGCATATTTATTTTCAGCTTTGAAGGAGATTGTGTCTTGAATGAAATCCGAGGACAAATCGCCAGGAGCGGCTGGTCTCAGGGTTGTAATGATAGTGCTTGCAAGAGGGAGAACTTAACATGAAGAATTTTATAGGCAGAAATAAAACCAGGTAGCTCCAACAAGCATGTTTTCCAGTATGGCGTTAAAGGCAGGAGTGTTTAAGAACTTATCGGAATTATGAAATGTTCTATGGTCCGTATTGAGAGCTTGAGTTGTAAGTAGTTATAAAACCCTGGTCATGTGTGAACTTAGGCTAGAGTGAACAGAGTAACACAGTACTGGATACTTGCGGGAGGTCTGGATCTGCTTTGTACATCTGCGATTCCCTTTGTATTCCACAGTCAACTGCATGCCAGGATCCAGGAGCTTCTTGTGGGTCTCCCACACTGGTGCAGGGGACCAATGACTTGGGCCATCTTCTACTGCTTTCCCAGGCCATAGCAGAGAGCTGGATAGGAAGTGGAGCAGCTGGGTCTCAAACCAGCACCCATATGGGATGCCAGCGCTTCAGGCCAGGGCGTTAACCTGCTGCACCACAGCGCTGGCCCCTCTTAATTGCATTTTTTCCATAAGTTTTTTGAGGTGCCCTATTCTTAGTGGGTACTCCATGAGGGAATGTGCCCCAATGTCTGTGGATGTGTATTCCACTTACTTTAAGAACAGAATAAAGTAGACATTAGTGAGACTGTCCTCGTTTATTTTCTCTCCATATACTGGCTTTCCAAATCCTTTTAGTGGGAATGTGTGGGGTAAAGCGTAATAATTCAGATCATCATTACATTCCTGATTTAGTTGTTTTGGAAATCTTTGGTGCTGCCAGCTTCCCCGAGCACTTAGAACAGCAGTGTAGGCACAGACTGGTGTCCCGGGGGCTCCACTGGCCAGTGCCCTGCAAGAGAGGCAGCTGTTAGCAGACTGCAGGTGGCATCACATAGCATGGAGACCAAGTGAAGAGGTAGAGCTAGCTGGGTAAAGGGGATCCCAGAGAGCACAGCCCTTCAGGCTGACCCCAGACACGGCGCGGCCGGGGGTGAGAACCTTGACCTTGAGAGTAAGCGTGAGAGGGTGATGACCTCGGCAGATCCGGGAAGCCCTTGAAAGCCCTTGCTAAAGAGATTGGCTCATCCTAAGGGCAAGCAGAAGCCAGCTAAGAGAGCATGGAAATAAAAAGATGGAATTTTTATTTTTTAAAAATTGTTCGCATTTTCCATGTGGGAAATGGATGAAAAGGGAGAAGTTTGCCTCAGTGGTTCATGTGGAATGAGCATGACCACAGCCGAGGAGATCTGGGTGGCCTGGAGAGAAGGAATTAGGGAGGATGGGACACTGACAGAGGCAGGCTTTGTGTCTGGATCATTGCCAACGCTGCATGATGAGTACACAGGGCAGATTTCACTATTTGTAGTTAACAATATTTGAAATTTTTCCGCAGTAAAATGTTGAGAAAAGAGGTAGGGTCATCAAGTCATCGGATGTTGGAAAGGAGGAGTCGCCGTGACTCAGGGTGGTAGGCGGCACTTACTGAGATGAGAGGGAGGGCTCCGGAGGCAGAGGCGGGGAGAGCATTGGTCATTTCTGACATGCAGAGGAGTTTGGGAATTCCATGCAGCATCCAAGGGCAGTTGAAGCTTGTGGGGAGGTTTGGTCTACAGATGTAAATGTGTCGTTGGCATAGTGATGGCCATGGAAACAGTGCCAGTGGCCCCTGGGACAACCCTGTGCGATGGTGTGTTTCATGAAAAAGCTCCTGTGTGTGAACGAGTAAAGGGATGTTCATGAATTAGTTATTACTCTTTGGAAAAAAAAAAAACCACTCATTTTAAGATTTAATGTATTTATTTGAAAGACAGTTACAAAGAGGAGAGAGAGGTCTTCCATTTGCTGGTTCACTCCCCAAATAGCTTCAATGGCTGTTGCTGGGTGAGGCTGGAGCCAGGAGCTTCGTCCATGTCTCCCATGTGTCTACAGGGGCCCAAGCACTTGGGCCATCCTGTGCTGCTTTCCCAGGCCATAGCAGAGAGCTGGATCAGAGGAGGAGCAGCTGAGACTTGAACCAGAGTCCATATGGGATGCTGGTGTTGCAGAGGGAAGCTTAACCTCTTCTACACCTTAGCACCAGCCCCAGTGTTATCACTTTAAGGGGGATTATTTAGAAATGTTACCTGTGATTACCCGTCAGCATTTTAAGTGATATTCATTTGGCAATTATTTTTGCATTAAGTGCTTTTTCCAAAAAATTCATTTAGGGGCCAGCATGGAGTAGCGGTTAAATCTGCCATCTCTAATGCTGGCATCCCATATGGGCACTGGTTAGTGTCCCAGTTGCTACACTTATGATCCAGCTCCCTGCTAATGAGCCTGAGAAAGCAGCGGAAGACGGCCCAAGTGCTTGGGCCCTTGCCACCCGAGTAGGAGACCTGGTTGGAGTAGGAGACCGGGCTTTGGCTTGGCCGTTGGCGGCTGTCTGGGGAGTGAACAGCAATGAAAGAAATCTTGCTGTCTGTCTCTTCCTCTCTCACTCTTTCAAATAAACAAACATGTTTTTAAATATTTACTTATTTGAAAGAGAGAGGGTTTTCCCATCTGCTGATTCACCCTCCAGTTGGCCACAGTATCCAGGATTGGGCCAGACTGAAGCCCAGAACTCCATCTGGGCCTCCCACACAGGTGGCAGGAACCCAGGTTCCTGAGCTGTCCTCACCACTGCCTCCCAGGTGCACATTAGCAGGAAGCTGAAATGGAGAGCAAGGTCGCGACTCAAATCCAGACCCTGCAGTAGAGGGCACAGGGCACCCAAGTGGGCTCTCAGTAGGCCAAACACCCCACCCTTAAGTTCCCTCTTAGTGTTTTTTCTTCTCAGATGTTTGTATCAGGTGGAGACCATAATTGCATTTTACTGATTTTTTTAAGATTTATCTGTTTGAAAGTTTCAGAGAGAAGGAAGGACAGAGATATCTTTACTCCCCAGGTGGCTGTAATGGCCGGGGCTGAGGCAGGTCAAAGCCGTGAGCCAGGAGCTCCCTCTGAGTCTCCGACGTGAGTGCCCGGAGCCCGTGGCGCACTTGGAGGTGCCTTCTGCTGGTTTCTCAGATGCATCAGCAGGGAGCTGGATCGGAAGCAGAACAGCCAGGGCTAGAACTGGTACTGTGACGCAGGATGCTGGTATTGTAGGCCTCAGCCTAACCCCACTGTGCCACAGTGCCAGCCCCTAAATTATCTTATACTGTATTTCTTCATAATAATCACATTTATCATCCTTTTTGTTTTACAGAAAAACTATGCACTATTGCTGGTTACCATTTAAAGTCAAAACATTCTAAAAGCATGCAAAATAATTAGAATTAGAGGATTCTGGTCTCATTGCTGAATTACAGGAAATTAATGTCAGGCATTTGGAGACATTGGCGACCCATTGCAGCCATCCACACCGCAGCCCTTGTATCTGGGGTGACAGCTCACCCGGCTGTGCTGTGACCACCCTCCTTCCTGGATGATGTGTCCCCTCTCCATCATGCCGCCTCCCGGGCTGCTACCACGGCTTACCCGGCTCGTGTCTGACTTGGCATGTGGGCCTCGTCTTGTTCCATAGCTGTTGAGGAAATGCTGAACTCGGAAGGTTGGGCTGCCTGGGCCCACAGCTGATTCTTCTGCGTCTCATTCTTGGCAAGATACTTAGCTGTGACTTAGTTTCTTTTATCTGTGTAGTGGGGATAAAAGTAGCTGCCTCGCTGTGTCTGGAGTGTGCTAGTGCTCAGTCTCCGCTCTGCCCCCTCTGTCTCAGCGCTGTCTCCTTTGGCACTGACAGAGAACCTCCCCGCTGGCTGATCTTCCCACTTGATTGCCGTCGCATCGTCCCTTGTGTGGAGTGCCCAGTGGTCTCCAGTCTTCCCGGCTCTGGGTGCTCGGTCCCTGTCCTCCCCTTCCCGTTGCCGGTCCCCAGGAGTCTTCTGGTTGGCTCTGACCTCAGTGCCTGCTAGAATGCCCTTCCCCATGGGCTTGTTCCTCTGACATTATCTGCCCAGCTAAGTTCTGCGTTGCCGGCTGGCTACTGATTGTGGCCATTAATGTCCAAAATGTGAGTTCGTAACAACACAAGGTTGGCTAAGCAAAGCAGTCACTTTGAAAATTTTGTTTTCATGATTCTGCTGAGGTTTTGCTGTTTGTAGTGCAGGCTTGAAATTGGTGCTTAATTTTGAGTGTGGAAAAGATATTTTCTTGACTTACGCGTTGAGACAAAATGTGCCTTGTGCTTCAGTGATACAACCAAAAGTTGGGTTTTTTTTTATCTTATTGGTTAATGTCTTCGAAGAAAAAGCTGAACATTCTAGAATGCTGTATAGCAACACAGTAGTAGATAATGTAATCCAGTAACCAACTTCTGATTCTGTTTCTCTCCTACCGAAGGACCCCAAAATGTATGTACAGACAGTGCTAGATGTTCATAAAAAGTACAACGCCCTGGTGATGTCAGCATTCAACAACGACGCTGGCTTCGTGGCTGCGCTTGACAAGGTGAAGTATGACTTGTGACTTCACTATAGTGCGAGAGTGTGTGAATCAGAATCCTTCTCTAACTGTGTCTCACGTCACACAGGCTTGTGGCCGCTTCATAAACAACAATGCAGTAACCAAAATGGCTCAGTCATCCAGTAAATCCCCTGAGCTGCTGGCTCGATACTGTGACTCCTTGTTGAAGAAAAGGTATTTAAGTGACTTTGTTTTTTCTGAGTGAACCTGTTTGAAATACCAGCTTCTATTACATTACATTTTACAAACAAAATGATTGTATTTCATTCCTTTTGAGAAAATACTTTTAACGTTATACTTTTTGACATTGAAAACCTGCTTTAGTGCCTGCAGGCTGTTTATTAAATCTAAAGTTTCTCTATGTGCTACAGTACTTTTTTTATTTGGTATACTTTCAAACTTTGTTCTCATCTCATGAGTTTGTGTTAGTGCTGTGTCATAGTCTGTGCTTCTTAATCAACTGACAGTTTTCCTAATCAGTTTATGTGTACTAAGAGTTAGAGGCAACATCATCTAATGCGGTTTTCACCTCTGTCTGTGTTGTGTTTTTAAAGTTCTCTGATTTTTTGTTTCTGTGTTTGTTCTGACTTTCCTCTGCTGCTTTCACTTTTAACAGTTTCTGATCAGAAATGCTCAAGGTGTATTTCACTATTCCAAGCAGCAATTAGCAAAAATGAAAGATTCTCCTGCAGGAGGAATAGTCCTCTTCTGGCTTTCTGTTACGGTGGCTTGCACATGAGTCAGTCATGTTTTAAGCAGCTCTCTGAGGCTAGCATAAGCCCATTAGCAGAGACCAAGAAAACCTGCACCTGGCAGAATAGGAAGGCTGCAGACAAGGCTCACTTACAGATCTGTAGAAATTGTCACTGGCGTGCCGGCAGACCAAACCGGCCAGTGGGCTAGGACACAGCCTCCCTTCCAGGTTCCAGGAACGCAAGGGTGGCTCAGCAGCGGCGAGTTCAGTGTGATTTCCTGAGATAACAGAACCAGGTGGGAACCATGTGGACGTGTTGGTACGTGACGAGGAAACATTTGGTAGAGATTGGTAGCTGTGTGTCTTCTGACTTTGCCACAAAGCCATTTGCCCAGAGCCAGTGAGAAACCAAGTATTGGATTTATTTCCTGTGTATTGCAATGATGATCTAATATATAATTAGCAATTCTGGTCAGATCCTCTAATGCATTTTTTTCTAGGAATGAAACGGGGCTTTAAATTGGAATGTGTGTAATGACTTGATTTTTATTTAGATTATGTAAAGTGTGAATTTAAACAGCGAGAGAACTTCCTCAGTTTCTGTGAGAGAACACTTAGTGTCCCTCACCGAGTCCACTGATAGGTCATTGATTAAGGCTGCCGAGCCAGACAGGGCACGGAGACGGGGCTGGCCGTGTCTGATGAGCCCGTGTTGGTGAGTTTCACCTGGAGTCAGAGTGCAGCTGCTCTTGGGACAAACAAACAGCCCTGACCTACGGGGGTGAAGAACAGGACTGAGCTTCCTGAGCCAACTGTCGGGTTAGAAATGCCTCTATAGAGCTTATTTGGTGACGGATTTGTTTTAGATGAAGTAGGTGATTTTGTTCATAAAGGACTCTTGTAGAAAAACTTTTTAAAAAAATCCATTTATACTTAAATCATATTTAAAGAAATGCTTGTTCATTGAATGAATCAGTTACTGAAGGATAATCTGTTTTGTAGACATGACTCCTAATGGAAGGCCTCACTTCGGCAGTAGTCCGAACCACCGCGTTAATTTTATCAGGCTGATGAAAAGGAAACTGTAAATTGTAGAAAGCAATTGGAGAAGTGAGACTCATTTACTTACATATAAATGGATTATCTTAAAGGAAAAGTTCTTTGGGAACCGTTTTGTTTGGAGACTATAAACATCTCTGTTGTCATCTTGGATATTCTAAGTAACTGATTCATAACCTATTTTGTGATGATGCTACAGTATGAAATTGCCAGCTAGCTGTAGGTAAGGAAGGTACCCTTCCCTCTTCCCCTGTACTAATCGGAAGAGAACTGATCACTTGAGTGCGAGTGCTCGATTCCACATCCTCATATGGGAATTTGGTAAGTGGTGCTTGTTACAGTGTTCGCTGATTTGTTTCACAACACAGTGTCGTCTTAAAAATTTCAGTTCCAAGAACCCAGAAGAGGCTGAGCTAGAAGACACGCTTAATCAAGTGGTAAGGTGCTTCATTATCACATGTGTTTTCCGTAGCAATTGATTACACAAATTGTTTGTAACGTTATTCACATAGGGCATCTGAAATGGGAAAGCAATAACCACAGATTTTATTTCAAATCTACAGTTTTACTCCCTAAATTGAGTCATTAATTTTAGCATTTGTATTTTGATCACTATTACTGAGTCTGGTACAACTTGATGTGATTTTAAGGGGTTGATGAAAATATTTAAATTTAAAGTCTTTGGCATAGTTTTTTACCATATAAATGTTGGCAAACAGGCCCAGCCAAAACCAAGCACACATCTTGGCTCCTGGCGTGTGGCGGGTGACAGGCTGCCTGTGAGTGTGCTGTGTTCAGTGTATTCTCTTGGGCTTTGCCAGATGGTTGTCTTCAAGTACATCGAGGACAAAGATGTGTTTCAGAAGTTCTACGCGAAGATGCTGGCCAAGCGACTGGTGCATCAGAACAGTGCAAGTGACGACGCTGAAGCAAGCATGATCTCCAAGTTAAAGGTGAGTTTCCTCTTGTCCTGAGAAGTTCCCTTTTCTCAGTCATTCACAAAATAGTTCTTACTCACTCCAGGCTGCGTGGTGTGCAGGGGAGTTTGTACAGTAGTGTGGGCTCTGCTGCTCCAGGCAAAAGTCCATGCTAGCTTTTGTGGCCAAGCCAGCTCCTCCGTGATCAGGCCTCAAGGACTCTCCCAGTGCTTCCCCACCACGCTTTGGGGCCTTCTGTCCCTTCCAGACACCATCCGCACACCCCCACCCCGGTTCCTGGGTATTCACTTTTCGTTGGCTTTGAGCTGATGGGATGCTCTGGTTTGCCCTGGATTCGGTTGACCGTCTGCAGCCCTGCGTGCAGGAAGGCAGGACCATGAGTGCGCCCTTGCCACCGAGTAGTTCTTTCTCTGCTTCCTTCGCGTTCATCCCTGTGTGGGTGCCTCTGTCTGCTCAGACTGCCGGAGCAAAATACCGTAAACAGGGTGACTCAAACGCCACAGAAACTGATTCTTCCCAGTTCTGGAGGCTGGAGGGTACACGATCAGGATGCCAGCCGATTGGCTCCTGAAGAGGGCTGTCTCCCTCACACGACAGCGCAAGTCTGCAGCTCTCCTGTGCATCTTGTATAAGGACACGGATGGCACCGGGAGGGCCCCAGGTGAGGTTTAGACCTCATCCAAACCCAGTCATCTCCCGCACAGACCATCCGCGAGCAGCGTCACACTGGAAGGGGCGGGGGGAAGTGGGTACCCAGATAAGGGCTGTCTAGCTTCTAGTTGCACTGGTTTTCATAGTGTATAGTTGTAATGAATGGATACTCACGGTGTTACTAACTTTTAGTAGGAGTTTCGTACAGTCGGGTCTGTACCCTGTGCTGTGACCTCCCTTGCGTGCGTAGATCTCTGTACAAGTCAGTGAGACCATTGCCTGGATTCATTTCAGCAAGCTTGTGGCTTTGAGTACACCTCTAAGCTCCAGCGGATGTTTCAGGACATCGGTGTCAGCAAGGATCTGAACGAGCAGTTCAAGAAACACCTGACGAATTCGGAGCCACTAGACCGTGAGTATCTGTGTGAGTCTAAGCCGCTTTTACGGACAGGATTCTTTGCAGCAAATGGGATGACAGGTACAGTGTTCAGAAAGGATGGGAGAGGCCTCTTCCGAATTCAAGGACTCAGAAGCAGGAAGTTCCTCCCAAATGCCCCTCTCTCCTGGCCCGAGTGTGACCTTAAGAGATGGCAGGATGGGGTCACCACGCTGGGAGTCGGGGAGACCATGCAGGCGACCTGCATTGAGGCCAAACCTCTGGACTCTTGCCACCCCACACACAAATGAGACTCATGGGCTTGTTTTATTTTGCTTTCAAACTTGATTTGGATCTCTTTTAGCATTTTTTTTAAGCTAAAGGAAACTTGCTTGGCCTATGTAGATAGTAAAACCAGCGAGTTTGTGACTGCAGGTTTAAAGTAGGAATTAATGCAGTTGGACTGCAGAAATCCATTCCCCCGGGAGAGGCAGCAGGGCATATCCTTTAGGTCATTTTTTTAAACATTTATTTATTTATTTGAAAGGCACAGTTAGAGAGGGAGAGACAGAGATCAACCATCCACTGGTTTACTCCTCAAATGGTCACAATAGCTGGAGCTGGGCCAATCCAAAGCCAGGAGCCAGAAGCTTCTTCCAGGTCGCCTATGTGGGTACAGGGGCCCAAGCACTTAGGCCATCTTCTGCTGCTTTCCCAGGCGCATTGCAGGAAGCTGGATTGGAAGTGGAGCAGCCGGGATTTGAACTGTGCCCATATGGGATGCCAGCACCATAGGCACTGGCTTTACCCATTACACCACAGTGCCAGCCCTATATTCTTTAGGTCTTGCCGTAGCAGGATGGCGTACTTATGCTTAAATCATCACATGATAATTTTTGTCTTTTTAAATGAAAAAATGGGAAATTTTGTTTTTCTCAGACCGAGAATGCTATTCCATTATTAATCTTAAAAGAGTTTTACAAGAGAAGATTTTGGCTATCTGTTAAGATGAAATTACTCTTCTCTCTCTTTCTCTCTCTTTCTCTCTCGCTGTCTAACTCTGCCTGTTAAAAATAAATAAATAAATAAATAAATAAATAAATAATGAAAATACTGTTGGGGCGGGCACTGTGGCATAGCGTGTTGATTACAGTCCCAGCTGCTCCACTTCCCATCAAGCTCTCTGTCATGGCCTGGGAAAGCAGTGGAAGATGGCCCAAGACCTTGGGCCCCTGCACCTGCGTTAGAGACCCCAAAGAAGCTCCTGGCTCCTGGCTTTGGATCAGCTCAGCTCTAGCTGTTGTAGTCAATTGGAGTGAACCAGTGGATGGAAGACCTCTCTCTCTTTGCCTCTCCTTCTCTCTCTGTGTTATTCTGTTGAAATAAATTGGTTTTTTTTTTATCTTTTTGTTTTGTTTCATCTTTTTTTGAGAGAGAGATGGGTGGAAAGAGCCTCAGGATGGGTGTGGGGGTCATCATGCCAGTCATGAACTCACTCAAGTTTTCCTCAGGGGGAATTTGATCAAAGTAAGGGTAGGGCTTTTTTTTTTTTTTTTTTAATAGGCAGAGTTAGTCAGAGACAGGGAGAGAAAGGTCTTCCTTCCGTTGGTTCACCACCACCCCCCACCAATAGCCGCCACAGCCAGCGCTGCGCTGATCCGATGGCAGGAGCCAGGTACTTATCCTGGTCTCCCATGGGGTGCAGGGCCCAAGCACTTGGGCCATCCTCCACTGCACTCCCTGGCCACAGCAGAGAGCTGGCCTGGAAGAGGGGCAACCGGGACAGAATCCGGCGCCCCGACCGGGACTAGGACCTGGTGTGCCAGCGCCGCAGGCAGAGGATTAGCCTAGTGAGCCGCGGCACCGGCCAATAATTTTTTTTTCTTTAAGAAAGAGAAGAAATTACTATTGCAGTGTGTGTGTGTGTGTGTGTGTGTGTGTGTGTGTTTACTCACAATGGTAGTTAGATGTTTACATCTGCATTTTTGCTTCCTTGAGTGTGGGGCTGTACGGCCCTGCCGAGGCGACACGGGTGTGGCTTGAGACGACTGAAGTTGTCCTTGACCGAGAATGGAAGCCAGGGGAGCCACCAGGCAGAGGCTGCCACAGTTGAGCTGGCGGTCAAGTGGAGAAACTGCCTCTCTGCAGGGAAAGAATTTCTGGCTCTTCTTAAACCTGTACTACTAATGAAATAAAATAGACTGAAGTTGCGTAGGTCAGTGCTTGGTTTTCGGTTCAGGCAGGGTCTGGCGTTTCTTGTGTTTGCTGGTGAGAAGCGGTGCGCGTTGGCCCGGCGCGTCCCGCTGACAGACTGACCGCTGTTTCCTCCCCAGTGGACTTCAGCATCCAGGTGCTGAGCTCGGGGTCCTGGCCCTTCCAGCAGTCCTGCACGTTCGCCTTGCCCTCGGAGGTAGGGGCCGCGGCCGCGCGGCGGGGCAGGGTGGGCCGCGAAGCTGGGCGGCTCCCGGCCGGGCTGGGCAGTGCAGCCCCGGTCTGTGTGACGAATGTACGTCACGTCGCGATAGCACCTTGCGTCTGGGAACGGGAACCGCGCCGTTTGTCGTGCGCGGGCGGGAGCGGCGGACGGGCGGAGCCGGGCGGGAGGACAGGCCTGGCGCAGGCCGGGCACAGGGCAGGTGCCGGGCCGGAGGGGCGCGGGGCCGGGCCGGCGCTCCCCTAACGCTGTCCTTGGGCGCAGCTGGAGCGGAGCTACCAGCGCTTCACGGCCTTCTACGCCAGCCGGCACAGCGGCCGGAAGCTGACGTGGCTGTATCAGCTGTCTAAAGGAGAACTGGTCACCAACTGCTTCAAGAACAGGTACACCTTGCAGGTAAGGTCGCGCTGCATTCGGAGCCTTGCGCGGTCCGGATGACGGGAATCCCCGGGAACCCCGGGCTGGGGTCGGCCGGGCTGCTTCCAGCCTTCCGGGCCCGCGGGGTCGGCGAGCGGCGGGTGTGACGGAGTGACACAGTGTGGGCACAAAGACGCGGCATGGGCCGGCGGCTCCAGGAAGCCCTTGGCGGCCGGGACAGAGCAAACAGCGCCTGCTGCAGTGCCAGCGCCGGGCGGTGGCCGCTGACACTGCCCTCCGTGGGTTCGAAAGCGGCTCCGGTTACGTCAGTGACCTCCCTGGAAACCGGTCTTTGTGCTGGCGCTGCTGCGAAGGGGGCTTCGCCGTGATGGCTTGTTTCAGGCTCCGGAGGGCCCCGGTGAGCCTGTAACAGTGACGGGGATGTCTGCAGCTTCCAGGATTCTCTTGTGATCCCCCCAGTCGCGCTGGGCTCAGAGGCGCGCTCCGTTCGCGTGTGTTACTGCGAGGCGGGTGGAGTTGTGTTTATTCCTGTGCACAGAAGACGCGGGGTGCTCGTGCCAGAGTCCCTGCGTGTCCCTGCCCTGTGTCTGATCAGAGGCGTAGCGCAGGGTGTCTGCCACAGCTAGCGTGGCCCAGAGCAGGCGCGCTGTAGGATACCGGCTACAGTGCTCTTCCCCTGCCTTTCTGCCTCTGTTTAGTTTCAGTAGGGTGCTTTTTCCTGGTGTTCCTGGATTCTTGTAAAAAATACTGACATCAACTTTGTTGATCACTTACATGCTAAAAGGCAGGTGTTTTAAGTACCCACTTTGAGTCATGGCTAATGTTTCACCTGTGTAACCACTCCCAAGACAGATCGTTTCTTTATTATTGATTTTTCTTTTAAGATGTATTTACTTATTTGAAAGAGTGAGAGAGGGAGGGAGAGACAGAATCTTCCATTTGCTGGTTCACTCCCCAGATGGCCGCAACAGCCAGGAATATGCCAGGCCTAACCCAGGAGGTTCTTCTAGGTCTCCCACGTGGACGCAGGGGCCTGAGCACTTGGGCCATCCTCCACTGCTTTGCAGGCACATCAGCAGGCAGCTGGATCAGAAGTGGAGCAGCTGGGGGCTCAAACCAAGTCCACGTGGGATGGCGGCTTAACCCACTGTGGGCCAGGTGCCTGCCCGACAGGGAACATTTCTGTGAGGTTTGTTTTTGTTCCCTCGGTCACCAAGACATGAGAGCTGCCTTCTTTGACAGCTCCTGCTCATCTTCCTAGGACTTGAACCAGTGCCCATATGGAATTATTACGTTGTATTCCACTATAGTTATAATATATTCCTTTATCTTTACATCGATACGAAGAGTTTGTTTCCTAGATTAGATCTTCAGACCCAGGCTGCATACTTCTCAGTTTCTCCCACGCATTTAATCTTCTCTTGCTTTTATGTCGGCGCCTCACAGGCATCCACGTTCCAGATGGCGATCCTGCTGCAGTACAACACGGAAGACGCCTACACGGTCCAACAGCTGACTGACAGCACTCAGATTAAAATGGTACTCTCTTCACAGCCTGAGGGCTGCGTGTATTGTGGGGGAGGCACGGGAGAGAATGTGGTGTCTTGGATTTGAAATACATTTGCCTCATGGATGTGAATATGCTCTTAGTCTGAGTTTTAATGTTAAAAGACTTAATTTTTAGTTTCAACATAATACCCACTCCTGCCCCATGACAAGTTTCCCTCATTCATTTAACCAGTTCTTTTTCTTTTTGAGATTTGTTTATTTACTTGAAAGGCAGAGTTAGAGAAGAGAGAGAGATCTTCTGTCTGCTGATTCACTTCCTAAATATTAGGCTGCAACAGCTGGGACTAGGAAGTCAGGTGCTTCACTCAGGTCTCCCATGTGCATGTGGGGGCCCAAGTCCTTGGGTCATCTTCTGCTGCTTTCCCAGGCACATGCCCAGGGAGCTGGATCAGAAGTAGAGCAGCCGGGACTTGAACTGGCGCCCATATGGGATACTGGTGCTTCAGGCCAGGGCTTTAACCCACTGTGCCACAGCACCGGCCCCAGTACTTCTTTCTGATAGTTGACCAGTGTTCGGTCTATGGGTGGATGTTTGAATCGCTTCTGCTTTTTGCTGATTTTGAATAATCCCTCCATGAGTGTATGTTTTCCGTTTTCCTGGGTATAGACCTAGGTATGGAGTTGCTGGGTCATGTGACAACTTTGTGCTTAACATTTTAAGGAATTGCAGAACTGTTCCACGGTGGCTGGACAATTTAATATTCTCACCAGCATCGTATGAGAGTTCAGTGTCTCTAACTCAACGTTTGTTACTTTCCATTTCTTCTGATTGTCATCCTAGTGGGCATGAAATGATACCACTCTTATGATTTGCATTTTCCTAGCAACTGCTCCTGTTCAGAATGTTTGCATTTGCTTATTAGCTGTTTGTGTGAAACATCTTCAATTCCGTGGCCCATTTTTCCATTGGGTTATTTCTCTCTTCATTGTTGTCGCAGGAATTCTTCATGGTCTGTATCTTTTTTTTTCTCTTTTTTTTATTTATTTATTTTTTTTTTTTTTTTGACAGGCAGAGTGGACAGTGAGAGAGAGAGACAGAGAGAAAGGTCTTCCTTTGCCGTTGGTTCACCCTCCAATGGCCTCCACGGCCAGCGCACTGCGGCCAGCGCACCACGCTGATCCGATGGCAGGAGCCAGGTACCCATCCTGGTCTCCCATGGGGTGCAGGGCCCAAGGACTTGGGCCATCCTCCACTGCACTCCCTGGCCACAGCAGAGAGCTGGCCTGGAAGAGGGGCAACCGGGACAGAATCTGGCGCCCCGACCGGGACTAGAACCCGGTGTGCCAGCGCCACAAGGTGGAGGATTAGCCTAGTGAGCTGCGGCGCCGGCCCATAGTCTGTATCTTAAACCCTCTGGACACCGTGACTGGGCTGTGTTCTCGCCTTGTTGTAGGCCGTTTTGATTGTGATGAAGCCCGCTTTGTTTTCCCTCCTGCTCTTGTGAGCCGGTGTCTGGGGAATGCCTGCCTGCCGGAGGTCACCGGTCAGTGCCGGCAGCTCTGCCGAAAGGCAGCTGGCCATAGACACTCGAGTGCATTTTTCTAATTTCAGTACTTCGCCAGTGATCTGAAGATCTCCCCTTGGCCGGTATTTACTGTCTTGGTTACTGTTGCGTGGTGAGTGCGGACACTGAGACTTCTAACTGTGCTCTGTGCTGGTCTGGGTCCCTTCTATCACCATATGAACTGTGACACTTCTTGTACATTTCTGCACAAAGAACAGTCAAGGTCCTGATAGGACGGGCACTGAAACTGCAGGCTGCCTTGGGCCTTACTACCGTGGCAGCAGCACTGTCTTCCAGTCCGGGAGTGGGAGGTGTGTTTCCGTCTAACGAGGTCGCCTTTAGTGTCTTTCAAGATGTTTCATAGTTCTCATTGCTTCAGTCTTGCACTTCTTTAGTTAAATTTATTTCTAAGTATTATTTTTGATGCTGTTGTAAATGACTTTGTTTCGCTCTGATTTCTACTATGAAGAAATCCAGTTGATGTGACCTGTAACTTTGACAAACTCATTTATTAGCTCTGGTACTTTGGAGGGTGAATTCTTTAGGATATTTTTAAAAATATAATCATGGCATCTGCAGTTTATTTCTTCCTTTCCCTATTTTGATCTTTTCTTTTTGTTTTTGCCCGGTTCTTCTGAATGAGAAGTGCTGATGTATTGTTGAGTGGAAGTGGTTAAAAAAACGTCCTCGCCTTGTTCCTGCCCTTTGGGGGAAGCTATCCCTGGGGAGTGAGGGGCTGTCGGCTTTCCAGCGCGCCTTCAGGATCGAACTGGAGAGTCCCTGTTGTTCCTAGCTTTTCATGTGTGTTTTCGAGCTCATGAAATAATGCTGGATTTTGTCGAGTTCTTCTCCCTGCCTTGAGGCAGCCATGTGCCTCCTGGTTGTCGGCGGAGCGCAGCCTTTTGAGCGATGGCCCTGTGCGGAGCCACCCCCGGTCGTTTCTTTTGTACACTGCAGGGCCTGATTGGCTGCTCCAGGCTCAGCAAGCCTAATCCCAGAGTCCAAAACGTCTCAAAATCCCAAACCTTTCGAGCACCAACTTGCTGCTCTGAAAGTTCCATCTTTTGAAGCATTTTTGATTTTTCAATTAGAAACGTTGAACTGATCGAGTCTGTGCCGATATTCTGGAGTCTGAGCCACTGGTCGTCCCAGGCGCGCGCTTTGGTGAGGGGCGGCTGCTGGGCCCGTGCAGGTTGTTCTGTCGGGGAGAGTGGTCTGGTTTCTCGTGGCTCCTTTGGTGCAGCTCAGTGCTGACCCTGGAGCATGGCGTCGGGAAGGTTCGTCACAGGTGTGTCCTCAGTGTCTGTGTGGAGAGTCTGCTCACCTTCACCCACATCAGAACGAGGAGACGCAGGTGCCGCCCAGACCGGACAGAGCCGCTCACTCCCTGCTCCGCGCTGGATGGGCCGACAGCCGGACTCTGCGGTCCCTCCGCTCGTGTTCATACTAGACTCGCTTGTTGGGGCCACAGCTGCTCTCTCCCTCCCACTGTGGAGTCGGATCGGCCTACGAAGTGAGCCCTCCCTGGCGTCACTGCTGTGGGATTCCGAACCACGTGGCCCTGAGAGCTTGGGCAGTGCACCGTGGGCCAGCAGGGCTCCCCGTTGCGAGGGCAGCCCATGGCTGGCTGTGGCCGCTGAGGCTCATGGTACGCCTGGACCATGGGGTCACAGAGCTTTGGGCGACGCCCGGGCTGCCCGCTGCTTACAGATGAGAGGCCACACCCCGGCACGTCCGGCACAGTCGTGAACAGCACCGGACCTCCAGTCCTGCTGAACATGTCCGAGAACAGCTGACAGATGAGAAGTGGATAGTGTGGTTCCCTTGCCCACAAAGGAACGACACTGCTCCCAGCTGATCGGCCTTCAGTAGGCTTTATTTAAACAGGAAGAAAGAGAAACCCTTGAGCAAGGGGAGCTCCGAAAGAAAGGGGAAGCTCCCGTCCCATATCACAAACAGCTTATATAGTATAACATTGCAGAAGCATGTAAGCAAGCGTAGTCCATGCTACAGTCCATGTGGCGGCGCTCCAGTCCGGTGCCTGATCACGCACAGTCCATGCGCTCCTTGTCCAACCATAAAGGTGATCACGTGTCTTCATCCAATCAAGCTCCTGGTCACGTAACAGGCGGCTCGGACGCCAGCAGAAAGCTTATCGTTGCTCCACCTGGTGTTTTCTCAACTCTTGGTCAGTGGGAAAAGAAGTACGGGAAGCCCCAAGGCCATAGTTGTTTTGACTCTAGCCTGGGGTTATGGAACAGTCCCGATATCACAGCTCAACAGAAACCGTAAACATCCACACAGCAGTAACTATTGCAAACGGTCAGCAAGCTAAGCCTTAGCATGGGGGCCCATGGCCGGCTCATGGGTCCCCACAGGTAGGTTCCTGTAGGTTTAATGGAAGAAGTCAGTTGTGCATGGTGTCTGATATTTAAATATGGCAATTATCCATGTTCATTATTGAGTAATGGAAACCAACCAGGAAGGGGTTGGTTTTGTATTCGGAGGTGGGAGGAAGTGGTGGGTTCAGAGAATCCGCTGGGCGTCCCCGGGGGTGGTGGTTGTCATTACTGTGCTTTTCATGGGGAAGTGGACCCCGGGGGTTGCCGGTGGTGGTCATTACAAAGAGAAGTGCATTTTCCTTTTCCCTTACCACCTTTTTCTTTAATTGCAGGACATTTTGGCCCAAGTCCTCCAGATTTTATTGAAGTCAAAGTTACTGGTACGTTTGTACTTTCTATGTGAAGCTACAAGGAAGCGCCTCCCGGAGATGGTGTGGTGACAGCATTTCCTTCTTACAGGTCTTGGAAGATGAAAATGCGAACGTCGATGAAGTGGAATTGAAGCCGGACACCTTAATAAAATTGTATCTTGGCTATAAAAAGTAAGGAAGATCTAAGTAGGTGGTCCTAGGCCTTAGGCGGGTGCCCTGGCACTGTGGGGACGTGTCCATGTGAGCTGGGGCAGAGGGCAGACTCAGCGTGAGATGGGCGGGGCCCTGCGCCCTGAGCTTGGCGTAGGCCTTTGCTGCCACTTGGTGACCCTAGGGGTGTTTCTCTGGGTGACTCGAGTGTGCGGGCAAGTACGTCTCCCTACATGGCACGCGCGGAAGGTGCAGACTCTCGGGGCCAAGTGTGCTATTTTGTGTTGCTTGACAGCGTTTGGGGGAGCAGCTTTCCTGTCACAGATGTCCCCGTTGGTGGCAGAGCGGGAGGCTCGCGGGGCTCCCAGGAGGCCCGGCCCCAGGTGGGCGGTGGGGTCGCGCAGGAGCAGAGCCGACCTCTGTCGCCTGCCGGTGGAACCGCCGTGATGGCGTCCCCTCGTTTCTCCACAGCAAGAAGTTAAGGGTGAACATCAACGTGCCCATGAAGACGGAGCAGAAGCAGGAGCAGGAGACCACGCACAAGAACATTGAGGAGGACCGCAAACTGCTGATCCAGGTGACCGGCAGCGGCAGCGTCGCGGTGGGGGAGGCGCGCGGGCGGCGCCTGTTGGGTGTGGCCGTGGTTCTGTGGTTCTGTGCGCGGAGGGAGTCGCCGGGGGCGCTGTGAGGCAGGCGGAACCCACCTGTTCTCTTCATGGGGCAGCAGCCGAGGGCGCGCCGTCGGGTGGAGAGGGCGAGAGCCCCCATGGCCGCGGAGTGCGCTTCCGTCTTCCTTCCGAGCTGCCGGGTAATGAGAGGGCTCGGCAGGTCGCGGTGCGCTAAGGGCCGTGCGCCGGAAGCGAGCGTGGACAGGACTCGCGCCTCCGCGGCGGCCGTGCCCGGAGGGGACCGCGGCGGCGCGTGTGCCCCGTGCGGCCGTGCCCGGAGGGGACCGCGGCGGCGCGTGTGCCCCGTGTGCCCCGTGCGGCCGTGCCGGAGCTGACCGCGGCGGCGCGTGTCCCCGCTCGCTCGCACAGGCGGCCATTGTGCGAATCATGAAGATGAGGAAGGTGCTGAAGCACCAGCAGCTGCTCGGCGAGGTCCTCACTCAGCTGTCGTCCAGGTTCAAGCCGCGGGTCCCGGTGATCAAGGTAGGGAGGCGCGCGGCGGGGCTGCTTCCTGTGAAGCGGCGTCTGGGAGGAAATCCGCCCACTTGTGACTCCGTGTATGCAAAGCGCACCGCTTGCTCACTCACGCGGTGAACCTGTGTAGAAAGCACCCAGCGCCGGGGAGAGCCTGGCCGGGTCCACAGAGCCCGCTACGCAGGGGGGCCTCGGGCCGGAGCCGAGAGGGGCTCCCCCCAGCAGATCCCGGAGCCGGCGAGGGGCGGGGCGGGGCGGGGCAGCCGGGCTCCCTCAGGCTGGGGGCTCGGAGACCCCTGCGTGGGCGCTGAGGGCTCGCTCCCTCGGCAGGCGACAGGCGAGGAGGGGCCGGGAAGGCAGCGTCAGCCGCCCGGGCGAGACCTGCCCGAGCTGAGCCCGCCCGCGGGGCAGCGAGGAGACGGTGGCCCGGCCCGTCCTGATGGTGGCTTGTCTGTCTCTTTCCTTTCATTAAACGAACCCAGAAATGCATTGACATTCTGATTGAGAAGGAGTATTTGGAGCGCGTGGACGGCGAGAAGGACACCTACAGTTACCTGGCCTAGCCCTGCTCCGGGTGCGCCGCGGCCCGCCGGCGGCTCGGACGCACAGGAAAGCGACTCGGTCATAGCAGCCAGCCTGCGCCGTTTGGACCTCCCTTTTTAAAACCGAGACCAGAACTCCCACCGGTGGTCTCAGTACATCAGAACTGCTCAGGATCGACACATTTCAAGTCTGTAAATAAGGACACCGATGCCATTTAACCTAATTTAAGAACAGAGGGGACTGAACCTCCCACGCTGAGGGCTGCATGCTACTGCATTTAAGTCAATACTTGGCTACCTGGTTCCAGCTGCCGCGGGGCAGCGCTTACGGAGAGCGAGGCTGAGGGCCCACGTGTCATCTGCTATGAAGATCCATTTGTATAGTGTGTTTCATTTTCTAATGTGTGAAATAAAGAAAAGTAAAGGATTTCTGTACAAGTCGCATTTGGTTTTGTTTTAAGTTTTACTAATTTCTATATGTAAATAAAAAGATATAATGATTGTGCAAATTCCTACTCCTAGTGTCTTGCTGTAGTCTGAAAGGGCCACCTCCTCTGGACTGACCTGGGCGACGTGGCCGCGGGTTGACGTTGGGCGCCTGCGAGGGCTGAGTTGTGCCGCTGACACAGGCGGGAAGCGTCCCTGCCGGCCAGCGCAGGGAGCGAGGCGGGGACCTGGAGGGGCAGGTGGGCTCCCGGCCCGCGCTCCCGCCCCTGCTACCACCGAAGTCGGCGTGGAGCGGACCCTGCCCTCGGTCGTCCTGGGCTGGCCGGGCGGACGCCTGAGCGTTCCCTGGTGAAGATCGCCGCGTCGGAGACGACACGGCTTCCCGGCCGCCTCCCCACCCGGTGAGCATGGAGCCTGACGCGTGTGTGCCCAGGACAGCCCAGGCCGGAGAGCCCTCGGACGCCGGAGCGGTGGAGAAGTGGGCTCGGTGCTGGTTCGCTTCTGTGAGCTCTGCCCTCTTCGGAGTTGGGTGACCAACTGGGCTGGACGCGCCCGAAGTCCAGGCATAGCTCAAGGAGTGAGGGCCAGCTCTCGGCTTCTCCAGGCAGCCTGGCGGGTAACAGCGTCCCGGGGTCACCCAGCGGGGCACCGGCGGCGTCCTCCCCGGGACTGGGCTCTGCAGGGCGGAGGTGGCGCGCCCGCCGGCGCCTGGACGCCCTCCGACTCCAGGACCCCCGCGCAGTAGCGCAGTAACGCCGTGAGGTCCTGCCGCCGCGCCGGCTCCTCTCCGGGTAGGGGTCCTGCCCCAGTGGGAACTGGCACCGGCAGCCCAGGTGGGCGCGGGGTGGGCGCGGGGCCCAGTCCCCCGCAGTCTTGCAGCTGAACGCCTCGTCCCTGCTCCCTTCGCGTGAGACAAATGTCAGGTCGGTGGATGTGGACAGAGGCCAAGTGTCACTCGCTGCACTTCTCTAGCAAGAAATGCGAAACAAAACCTTGTGTGAGGAATTCACTTTTCATGACAGCTCTGTAGCTGCTTGGAGGCAGAGGCCCAGTGTCCCAAAACCCGTGTGTGTGCAGTCCCTATGGGAATCCTGCCCGCCCAGAGGAGAAACCATGAACATCCAGGAGTTTGCCCTTCAAGGAGACCCTCCCCCGCCCCACCCCGCCCTCTTACTACTTGGACGCAGCACATCTGGATGGTGCCATGATGTTGCAAATGCACTGGGGCCTTCTGCTGAGTTACCACCACGTGTACTTGTGAACCGCTGGGTGCATGTGTGTGTAGCAGCGCCGCAGCGCACCCTATAAAAATGTAGGACACTATTATGGGTCCAAGCTTTTAAAATAAATTAGCCAAGCCTAGTATCTCTGGCCTAATCCTCAAGTCCCAGAATGGCCCACCATATCACTGTCGCCTTTACCCTTTCCTAAAATTTATTTTCACTTTTATTTGAAAACCAGAGGAAGATCTTCACCCACTGCTCATTCCCCCAAATAGCCGCCGCGCTGAGGCTGGGCAGCCTGACGCCAGGAGCCCTGTACTCACCGAGCCACCACTGCTGCCACCCGGGGTGTGCATCAGCAGGAAGCCGGAGTTGGAAGCAGAGCCGGGGCCAAATCCAGGCTCTGAGAGGGGACGACGCCGTCCCAAGCGGGATCTTGATCACCGCAGCAGTGCCCACCTCTGCAGCCACCGGAACCCAGGGCAGAGATGCGCGCTGCTCAATCCCCCAGGAGGAGCCGGCACCACGTGCATCACCCCTGCTTGCCAATCCTTGGTTTTTAGAATGTGGCCAAAGAAGTGGGAACAGGATGCCAGCAGCCAAGAGTGCATCTTCATCGACTCGACTTTCAGAATCCCCGTGGCCTAATCAGAGCTGGACTTTGGCTCCCTCAGCCCAGATGAGCAGGGTAAGCGGGTGCCCTGAGGGAAGTTTCCTCTTAGCTCGGGGAGACCAGGCAAGGGGGCGGTCACCTCCACGCCCTGAGGGCGGCAGACCCCCACCCCCAGTGGCTGCTGGCAAGCATCTTTGGTGTTGCCTGTGTGAGAAAGCAGCCGGGCAGATTAACCCATGGGAGTTTATTTGAAGGCTTGCCCTGAGGACTGGATGACAGAACAGGACTTGCAGGCCCCTGGAATTTTAAATCTTTTGGGCATTTTAAAGTGTTTGTTAATTGCCAACGTCAGTACTTCAGTTTTCTAGACTTGACTGAACCCCAAGAAAGCTCCAACATGTTCTGAGGATCTGACCCTTTGCTGCATAGGTGGTGAGCGGTTTTTGTCTTCAGGAATCGGTCGAGCGGCTGTGTATACCTTCGTGTCATCTTGCCATCCAGTGCACGTGCCTGTCCCATGGCAGACCACACAGCTTTGTCCTAACAGGTGAGTGCAGCTGACTTCTGATCTACAGGACAGTCCAATGTTGAAAATAAACAGCAGCTTTAGGTGAATGGCTGTAACTGATTTCTCATAAATAAATGGGTATTTCAGTTTATAGAAATCAGAATTAAAAGATTACAGAAAAAAGTAAAATCCAAGCAGCTTTTCCATAATACACATTTTCCATGAGCTTTTGGTGATTTCATATGCAAGTATTGAAAAAAAAAGTTGCATGGCCAGTGCCATGGCTCACTTGGCTAATCCTCCGCCTATGGCGCCAGAATCCCCCATGGGTGCCAGGTACTAGTCCCAGTTGCCCATCTTCCAGTCCAGCTCTCTGCTGTGGCCCGGGAGTGCAGTGGAGGATGGCCCAGGTGCTTGGGCCCTGCACCCCATGGGAGACCAGGAGGAAGTACCTGGCGCAGAACTGGCCATAGCGGCCATTTGGGGAGTGAACCAACGGAAGGAAGACCTTTCTCTGTCAAATTTTACAAAAATTTGCATTAAAGTAAACATCGTTTAAGTCTACTTTCTGTTTCAAAGTACTTATAGAAGATGTTCTAGATTGAAAAGAATTCTAACAAGCAAAGCAATGCTCTTTTATGGTGCTTTTAACCTCTGCACAAGCTGGAAGCCGAGCACCTACTCTTGGATGGCAAGCTCTGCTGCTTCCCCCCACACAAACCAAAGTGTCCAGCTGACAGCCCTGACTTAGATGGCCTTTATTATCTAGGATCTCACTGGCCGAGGTGTACCCATCACTTCTGCTCAGAAAACCTTCATGTTCATGGAAGCCACTGCAGAGGGCATTTAGAATGCCATTTCTTTATTTGAAAGGCAGAGGCACAGAGATGACTTCCATCTGCTGGATCACTCCCCAGATGGCCGCAACGGCTGGAGCCAGTTGTTTCTTCCAGGTCTCCCTCACAGGTGCAGGGGCCCAAAGACTTGGGCCATCCTTCCTCCACTGCTTTCCCAGGCTGTACCAGAGAGCCGGATGGGAAGTGAAGCAGCTGGGACTAGAACCCACGCCCGTATGGGAATGCCCCACCAGCTAGGCCACAGCACCAGCGCCTAAAGTGCCATTTCTAATCATGGTATAAAAAGCTTGCTTGTAGGTTAAGAATACAGTGGGGTAAGCACTGTGGCACAGAGGGTTAAGCTGCCAGGTGAGACACCCACACTCCATACCAGTGTCAGTTTGAATCCTGGTACCTCCACTTCTGATCCAGCTTCCCACTGATGCACCCTAGGAGGCAGCAGATGGTAACTGCCACCCACAAAGGAGATCTGGACAGAGTTCTGGGGCTCCTTGGTTCAGCCTGGCCTTAGCTGCTGCACACATTTGGGGAGTCAACCTGCAGACTGGGAGAACTTTTCATCTACTTGAAAAAAAAAACAAATTAAAAAAACCACCAGATAGTGCTCAAAACCACTGAGCAGCAGCTGGCTTGACATAAAGGCGCCACCTCTCAGCTACTTACATCCCGGGATGCACTGTGTTACTGCTGGGCCCAAGTCTCATCTGAACAGGCCCACTTGGCAATCATGAAGAGTGGCTCCATTTAGAGTAGGAAAAGGAGAAATGACCCAACCAACCAAAGTAACAAAATTACCTCCTTATAGGCTAAATGGCTGGCCATTTTGCCCAGGGACACAGAGTGCCAAGGGAAGAACAAGAGGCAAGCAAGGGTTTCCTAGGTGGAAAGTGGGAATAGTTAGAGCCATAAAATACATCCGCACTAACACCAGAAAACTGCAGAGTCTAGGACAACACACAGGAGACCGGAGTCGCAGGCCAGGCCATCAAATCCTTATCCCTGCAATCAGCATTCTTTGCAGAGAAGGCAACTTGCTAGCAAGTAACTAGGAACTGCGGAGCACAGACTGTAATACCCCCACTGCAGTAGACTGACTGACAGCTATCAGGAGGAGGGTACCTGGTAGCTGAAAAATCCCTCTTGGTCGGGGGCTACTCTGAGACAAACTGTTGTCATGCAGAGTACAAGGTACAAGCACCCCCCCATTTTCTTGATATTTTGAGAGCATGTTTTTCCCTACCTCCCCAAGGTAGATTTGTACCTAGTTTGTAGGTATGTTAGGAATTCCTGCTTATACTATTCTAAGAATTAGACCCAGACTAATGGAATTTAGAGGTAGATAGGCTCTTAGGAAAGAGGACAGATTAGAATGTAGCCGCCCTGGTCTCCTGTCTACAAGACCAAGCTCCTTTCTCGGCAACCCGGTGTCATTCACTTACATACATATGTCTTCTGTATACTGACAGGCACTACAACCATTCCTAGAATTTGCCACATTATAATACAATCAGTTATTAGTATCTAACAGGAACACATTTTCTGTCCTTTTCTAAAATCAGTTAATGAAGCTTGATGATAGTTGACTCAACAAACAAGGAGAAGTTCAAGTATTCTTTATTCAAAGTTGAAAAATGTACCATACTGCATTATTGCAAAAATTCACTGGTACAAAACACTTTTGCAGCTGGTGAGAAGGCAATAAAAAGTTGATTTTAAAACATCACTATAAATTATTCTTACAGTACTCTGCAAATTCAGAATTTCAAACTGCATTTTCTTTTTCTAAATCGCCCACAGTACTCGAGGTTCCTGAAGCTAAGGCAGCTGTTTCCGAGAGGAAGGGGAGGAGGAGGTAGCAGAT